ATGTGGACTACAGTATTCAAACAGTCCTACATTGCACTGAACTTGATGCTGTTTGTTAACACCCCCTCTAGTGGAGGCAGACCACTATATGACACCAGCACGAAATACTCCGTAATTCGTGGTCTACTGACTGCAAGTCACTGACGATAGCAACCCAAAGACAATGGGTTTCTCTTTCCGTATTGTGACTCTATGTGATCGGTAGTCAGCAGTCTTTTGATTTAGCATTTCCTTCTATTGTAAGGAATGTTTCACCCGGACGAATCACTTGCAACCTACGACATACAAGCAAAACACCAGAGTTTGAGAATCCACCCGACACCTCAAATTCAAATACCATCTGATTGGGTCGGCCGCGCAATGAGTTTAGCGATTGTTTAGGGCAGGTAATCGCCGCCAACTGCTATTCCCATTCCAGCGCCTGGTGCCAGAAAGAACCCACTGACAGTGATCCACAACAGCTTTATTCCAAACAAGCGAATACGGGTGAGTGCAACAGTTACGACGGTCCCGCGCCAGTTTAGAGGAGACTAAACTTGAATTGATCCAGGCTGTCCGATGCGCGTTAGTGAACACGCATCAACATCGATCATCCCTCTATGAAATGTCCGAACTCTGATCACATTCGGTTGTGCTCATGTGGCGTGCATGAACACTCATCGGCATTCGCTAAATTGATTGAATGCTTGACGGGCCTGGACGGGACGGGTTTCATTTTCAGATTTTTGTGGACTTTTAGCATCTGGGCATCTTAAGGTTACTTTCAAGAAACTGACCTTCAAAATGCCCTCATTTGCGCATAAACCTCCTTTTAACGGTGACTCAAAACAACCCAGATAAATTTCTCGTGTATGCTGGTCTTTTTCAATAGTTTGTCAATTAAATAGATTTGGGCATTCTGTTCCAGTGAGTTGGCTAATTCCTCTCGTTGCGCAAATTATTCGTGGTGTTGTTTGTGTCCCAAAGATAAATTATGTGCAGCACCAGCGAATGACTAGAACACCGCATGCAAAATTATGATAGGTGGCCTAATCGAAAGTCCCTGGTGAAGCAAAACGTGTATTGGCGATTTGTGCCCTAAGGTTGTATGCCCACTAATGTGAATGACCTCCGTCGGCATTCAACTTAGGAGACGCATTATTGAGCAAGATGCAAAGTACTTGACATCCCATATTTTGTCCCATCACAGTCGTGCTGCGAAAATGACACAAGCAAGTTACACTCCTCAGTGTACTCCGAGGTTTTGAAATTCGCAACCAAAAATATAGAACAGATATCAGATGACCCCTATTAGAGCACAATGGTGGTCACTACCAATATCGAGATAGCTCAGGTGTCGGAGCGCGAACTTACAATTTGACCGTGATTCGAGCCCAACCCTGGCATTTCGACTGCTCTAGAATTAGACGATATCTGCATTCTCGTGCTTGTATTGAGTGGCACGGTACTACACCTCAATAATTATTTTTCAGTTTTTTTCAAATTTTTATAACACGAAATCCCCAAGCAATATAGTGTTGCGTACAAATAGTGGTGACATGATCTTTACCCGAACGAACGGTTCATATTGACAACAGCCATTTACGAAGGTCTTACTGAATGTCTACTGATGCCAATAATTTTGTTGGCATCGAATTCTGAAACTAATGATAGGAAAGCAAATTCACCGTTGAGGCGAAATTGTGAATTTTTGTATCACTTTTGAGCAGAAACAGAAGTGTTCTTTGACAAATGGCAGGAAGCAGGTGAGGCGACCAACGACAACCTTGGAGAACAACTGCAATGACCGTCTGGGTACAACAAAAAGAAATCAGTGGCTTGTAGAGCAGTTCTCAGTCAACCAAGCCGAGATAAATGTGCGGTGCTGCTCTTCCTTCTACATCAATTCAATATTTCAGCTAAATTTGCAGTTATCCCCACGCTTACTATTGGCTATCCCTCTTTTGATGCACCGCTAACGGACAATCCTCACCAAGGAAGAATCAGACGATATCTCCAGTGTCTGACTGATTTCTCGGAGTAACCGATTGGGGGCTGCCTAGACAACCACGCATAGACACCACACCTGCTCGGCCTGCGATAGAAGGAATGCCATTGAGCCGGTAACACAACACTGTCATTTAAGTTGCGCCGAACTAGCCAGGTTTCCATCATGATGCAATGGGCTTTTAAGTGAATGTATACCGCTATTTAACAGGCGCCTACCTCCGACTTTCGCAATCTATGTGCTCTTGGTAGATGCTGAGTTCTTCCGTCCTGATTGGAAGTTTTCTAAAAATTACTCCCGATCTGCACATCAGTCATCGAGACGTCCCCAGCTGATTAGTTCAACACAGCTGTTTGGTCTTTAGACGGGTGTTCCCATACCAAAATCTTTATATACTTTGGGATTCACCTCGTCAGAGTGGCACTGCCCTTGGCATGATCTCGAATGAGACGTTTCTCTTTTTTTCGCCCATATTCTCCTGTTACTCTTTCGCATTCATCGTTTGCACTCACTTATTATGTTTGTAAACATGCTCTTCAAAAATAAAAAAATAACTGATATTTGTATACATTGTAGACACCCTTTCGCGACACACAGGACTGTACAGGTCACCGACACTAGCTATTCATGGGGCCACTTTGTAACATTTGCTCGGATTTGACCGACGAATGATTGGTGGCAATGAATCTCTAGAAAGACACGTTCAGGAGAAGATGTGTGTCCAGGTGTTGTAACTAAGATGCAGATGAGCGTTTTGCTTCCCTGTTCAATGGTTTGTAACCTTGTGTCTGGATGTTGATTTATTTTTCTGTGAACATGATAGATCCTTGGAATTGAAACATCAACTGAATCACTATGAACTACTTGCCCTGTTTGAGTAGGTGAATAAGGTGATTAATCTGAATATTCAGTCTCGGAAGTCATGTAGTTTACCCCAGATTATTTCAATAATTTCAGCTCAGCGCTGGTGCTTGCAACGAGAGAAGACATCACATTGCTATTGTCAGCGGTTTTTTGCTTCATCCTGGAAGGAGATTCACACTGGCAAACACAATTCCGGAAGTCTCTATTTACCGTTAAACATGCCTTGATTGAAATCCCTGTTACACACGCGAACTCTGCTTTTTTCACTCCGTCTTTGTGGATTTACGGAGACCAGTTCACACCGGCTGTGGTTCTGCGATGACGGATTTTGATCGAGCAATCAAAGACGTCTTAGGTTAGTCTTAGGTCTCAGTAGCAATATGTGACATCTGAATATATGAACTGTAAGTGATGATTACGAACGGGATTTGGGTGAAAACTGTCTTCAAAATTGACTTAACACAGTTACTGTCATAACACGCAAGTCCAAGAGTATCGAATGATATCTGGTGACCTGAGCCACGGTCTTAAACGTATACTAGATGTTCGACAATCAAACCATCATCTATTTAGGTGGCGGTGAGCCCGACTGTCAACACATTTAATTTTCATTGAACCAACCGATCAAATCGTGACGCGGTGTGCTTGTAACTGACACAATACTACTTCGCAACAAGCAACTTCCTTGGGGCATCGGAAGATGCTGGATTGTTTCATCCAGGGTGGTTCTGCGATGGCGGATTTGATCGAAGAATCAAAGACGTCTTAGATTAGTCTTAGGTCTCAGTAGCAATATCTGACAGCTATACCACGAAACAAAGCAAACGGCAAGGTGACATATTCTTGGAGAATAGTGCTAAGCCGCTTTACCTTCATGTGTATCTAGAATAAGAAAAAGATGATCCTGATGTCACAGATTTGTGTATGCACTTTTTCCATCGCACCACAACTCGAGATTGTGCATGAGCTTTGTGCCTGCAAGTCACGAGTTCCAGCGAACTCGGAGGTGCACGAAAATTCTTCCCGCCGCTGACAAAGAGCACCATTCAGCGAATTCTCATGAACATTTTGTCCGATAAGTGAAGCTAGGAAGAATTGTACATCTGTTCCACCCTCACTGAGGTTCACCGGAACTGCAAGTCTCAAGAAACGAACTCTCGACATCTTGGCTGGTGTTCCAACCAGTTAACTTCTCTGTGCTTCTCATACACCTATGGTTGTCGAACTGTCTTAAGCAAGGAAACTGGCACGGAATAAAAGAAGAGGCCCTGCATATTCCTGGAAGAGGTGAAATGTGAAACCATAACGTCACTGTTAAATTTGGAAGAACACGCCTCTGTGTGAAGCCAACTTCCGCTCATGAGTCGTGAAAATATCGCTTATCCCGAGTTGTGTTCATGGTGCTTCACTAATCTCAGCGTAGCAAACAGTATCTTCTGACAAAAGCGAATAAATAAGTCGTTAAAAATGTGAGTACATGTTTGAAGAATGAAGTTTTCACTCCAGAGTTTTCGAAGTGGATGAAGGAATGAGGCAGAAATAAACTTTGGGTGGATAGTTTTGTTGGGGCCTTGCAAATTTACGTACACCAAAACCACGGAGAAAAGTAAATTCCTTCGTGCAACGCTTCGCGTGAATTTTGCCCACTTTTGTCAACCAGAAGCGTCAGGAAACCAGCATTCTTCGCAGTGATTAAATACCCAGGTTTCAAGAAGTTGAAATTATGAGTCAGACTGATTTAAGCTTACCTTCTGCAAACACAGAAATTTGCCGGGAGATGTAGTTATCAATATCCCCAAGGCCAAGATTATCAGCAAATTTACACATGACGCAAAGCGTTGCATATTGCCGTCTTCAGGACTCAGTATTGTGTTCAATATTGTCATGAGCGCATAGGTACACAATTAATCGATCCACATTTGTCCTAGAAAAGACCAAAAATCACCAACGTGCACGCATTGTTGGAAGAAGATTGTGCAAATGATCAGTCATTGAACAAGCTGATCAAAATGTTCGATCATACCCTGATTAGCATAAACTTTGTACCGCCGACCTACTAGATTTGTGTTTGATACCTTTTTCTACATGATTGCCATGCATTTGTAAGGCAATTTTCGATTCACACGAGACAGTATATAATGCCAGGCGCATGAAGCTTCAAGTAATCCTGAATATGATGTGCCGTTGTCCGCTTCTTATTGCGTTCTTGTTCTACGTCGACCACGTTGCACGGTTGGATGCCGCCGGTGTTCATAATCGGTCACCTATATTTAACAACAAGCCGTCAAATAACTGGGCCGTCCTAGTCGCTGGTTCTGACTCATGGATAAATTATCGACATCAAGTATGTCTTCGTTTTTTTTGTTATTGTACTGAATCGCAAACGTTTTTCCAAAGTGCATACAAAATGGTTTTCGAAAGGGAAATTTGAACTACTCATCTCCCAAACGGTTGTCTTCTACCTAATCATCTATATGGCTGTGATCTTTCACTGAGAAAGACGGTGCAACAAATCCACAACAAATGGGTGCGTAGTGCTTGGCCCGTGTTCTTTTTCTACAGCATTTCATTGTTGTACTCTAATTACGCATATTGTCTTCGGATTACTTCGTGAAACGACGTGATATAGGCACAGGAAACATTCTTGTCACGACGAAAGTCAAGATAATTTCTCGGTGGAACATACACGCAATTAGGTCGTCGTCAAATGAACTCAGTTTTTGTAGATTGTTTTTCCGCCCAGGAGATGCAAATCAGAAAGAGAAACGACGACAAATCATTTCACAGGAAGCGATTTCTATTTAGGACCAGCTGCTTCATAACATGCAACCGACTGTTTCTTCGGAGGTTCCACGTTCAGTGTCATCACTCTAGCTGAGAAGTGGCAGTTAATCGGTTGATTACTTGTTGGGAATTTTTAATCTAATTAGTGGTCAGATACATGAATGAGGAAAAAGGATTGAAGGCTTAGGTTGTAGTCTTCTTCGCCTACTCACCCGGTGTATACAGCACACAAAGCAACCGGGTTGACGAAGACAATCGCAGCCGCTGTGACATGAGATCACTTTTAAGCGTTCAACCATACTTGCAATTAGGCTGTGGTACCGCCAGTTTAAGGAAGAATGCTCTCCACCGGGAAACGTTTTATTCGCAAACAGCAAACAGGCAGCTACAATCTGCTGAACGGAAAAGTAAACGTCTCATTTGCTCATAGATTTCTAAAGCCGAAAATTATCAAGATTCTTAAAAGAGTGAAAACAACGCTTTTCTTAACGGACACCGTAAAGCATTTCCACAGGTTCCGTAATGAAATTCACCTTGCATTCGGGGCGGCGCATAATTTGAAGAAGACCACAGACTACTCGCATACCTGGTCAGTAATATCCGCCGTTACAATAAGAAATATCATTTTGGTGTCTCTGATTAAGACCTTCATCCCAACAGCCTAGTTGCACTAGTGGTTTTTCAGATTGGTGTTGGATTGTGCGGAGAGTCAGAGGAGAAATTTCAACTCTCACCATGGATGATTTCCACTCAATGACTATCCTGTTAATAAAGGCTCTATGAGTATCGCATATACACTACTCAGTGTGCTGTTGAGGGCCACAAACCGTCAGGCCCCTATGAGGTCCAACCTCTCTTTGACACTAAAAGTTACACTGTTTTCATTTTGAGTGATACTACTGACAACAGGCGAACTGGGACATCCTTCGAGGTTATTTCAGGAGTTCGTTTGATCTGAAAGGTTTGTGCACAAAAAATCATCCAAGGCCGAGGCTGTTATCCGTGTTCAGTGGGATGGTCGTAGTTCAAGGACAGACCCACAGTTGGTCAAGAAATGACCAGCCTCCGTCAAAAAATCAACGAGCCATCAGGTGCCAGATCCATTCGAGAAAAACTCCACGAAGGAACAGCCCAGTCGAAGAACCATGTTCAGTCCAGTATCAGTAAATTAGGATACCTCCTCATCCAACCCTAAACCAACTTGCCATACGCTTAATGATTTGTAGGAGTCCTTATGACTGTAGTATCGTTCGATGGTGGTCAGACTCAAGGATGTCGAGAAATCAGATGCAACATCTCATGATCAACTGTTCAATTTTTATGATAAAACATATTGGTGTGATGATAAATTTCGTTTGATTTTCTTTAGCTCGAAGGGCAGTCTTTCCCGATGACATTCGATCATGATGGAGATTAACGACTGCGAAAAATATCCAGCCATTGATGTGCAACACTTTCAATCATTTGAGATTTTCGCTTCCAGAATAATCAGCATCGTACTTTCGGGAACATACTGGCACTAATCTACACCCTTTTAATACAAAGTTAACGCAATTTATTTGATATCCACAATGGCATATGAAAAAGTCTTGACGAGTGTTCTCGAAAGGATTTTGTGAGGGCTGATGTGCATGCCATGGAGGAAACCTGGCTGATGTGATGTGTCCGAAGAAACTCATAAACGCAATGCAGCGAAACATTGTTAACAATACGTTTGACTACCAAATATATGAGGTTTTATCGTCCCCTGGAGGAATCCCCAACAAACCGCGTTCCCAAGTGGGGTGCGGCACGATGTAATCAGCTGTTCTGGGGCAATCGGCTAAGCCTCTTATTGGTTGTGGGGAAAGTAGCGCGTCAGGGATCTCCAGCGAAACATGACTTGTGCTCTATAGCTCAACGGCATAGAGAAACAAGACGTTATGCTAGGGCTTGGCCTCAGATAAAGGATGAAATCGCGATTGAAGATCCCAAACGATGATTTGTAGCCAAATATCTGACAATTTAGCTGCCGTGCCCAAAGTCAAGCAATTAACTAACAACAACAGACGTGATTACGTTACATTCACATTACTGGGCAGGTACGATGCATAGGAGTGCTTTTGAAAGAACTGACACTCCACCAAGTATGCATAATTTCAGTCAGTCTGATTACCTCCTTCGGCCCGATGTGCTGCATTCTCCCTGTTATCTCTAACTCACCTGTCATTTGTATTTCCCTTCAGGCGAACGTTTTTCACGCCTATCACGTCTTGCGTGCAAACAAAATTCCAGCGGAGAATATAATTACCTTCGCCTACGACGATATTGCAAACCATCCCAAGTAACGATCACGTACAATGTTTTCCATCTGGTAGTAATTAGACTGTAGAAATCGCTTTTCTCCATTTGGCCTTCAATTGTCTCATTTCTAAGCCGTGGATTCCACGGATGTAAATCAAGAATGGAATCGGGTTGGAGACAAACATGTGTGTTTTTGCGTCACTCAAGATTTGCCATAAAGTTTTCCCACTTTCACGACATTTCCCGACACCAAACGCTATATAACCTTGATGCAATCAAACAATTGATACCCGATCAAAGTTCAATCATTGTTGTAATTGTTCACTGATGATAACAAATTTCACTTGGTTTCGATCGTCAAAAGTCTGAAATTAATCACACCGATATGTAGATGTTGTTCGAGTACATTAGCCGGCTGATGATTTGGAGCAAATACTAAACGGACAACCTAGTAGGCATGACAATTTGTAATACAGTCGATTGATAAGACTCGTGGCGGAAACCCTCGAGAGACATGAAAGAATGTTTCTTGCTTCGAGTTTGTGATAATTGTAAGTCGAATTACATTCAAGGACAGTAACTGTATAATCACATAAGAGAATTACATTTCCATACAAAATTTGTAATGCTCTATGTTGTCTAACTACAGTGGTCATTGTGGGGTCTGTACTTCAGTTAAAACTTAATCTAAAGCTTGACACAAAGTGTACTCATCCGCGTGCAAATTCATTCAAAAACACGACCGGAAACCAAATTCAAACAGAAGTTACGAGGATTTCATTTCCTTTTATTTGACCTTATTGTTAATTTCTTCTTCCAAAAAGCACATTGCCAGTTTTCTTTCTTTCAATCTAGGAATCCATACAAAGGTCAAGTTTTCAATGACTACGAACACGAAGATGTTTACAAGGGTGTGGTTATTGACTACCGTGGACAAGTATGTCCATGCTCAGCAAATAAATGAATTTGTTGACTGTGTAATGGAAGGTGCAAATTACATGAAACTGCGTAAAAAACACAATAGTAAATCTTGGGCAGGTTACTCAGATACGGAGCGTTTTTCACGCAGTGTGTGCGTCGACTAACTGCTGGAAATTTTGGTGCCTCCGGGATTCGCAATTGGCAAACAGCATTCGTTGGATACTGAATCGGGATTGGCTATTGGCTCCAATCAGATTTCTGCTCGACAACATGCCGGATCCAACTTCCATGCTCGGCAGACTTAAAAACAACCAACTTTTAAGTTTTCATCATTCAGCGGCCATCGCAAAAGTAATCTGAGTGAAGATAGAGAGCAGATACTAGATTTATCTTGATTGGCTAGACTGTACATCGATGTTTACTGCGAGGAGAATGAGTGTGGAGAAAGCCACTGTAACACAAATAAATGATAATGCGTATATCTCTGTTTCAGGACGTCAATCCGGATATATTCGCGAAAGTACTGAAAGGCGATAAGGAACTCGAAAAAGAAGGGGTGAAGCTGTTGAAAAGGTGAGTTTGCTTGAAAGTAGAGGTTGTTGATGTACTTGCTGATCACAGCCAGAATTCTGGTGTTGCATGTCAGCGGTTTCCACTTGCGTAAAGCTTGTTTAGTATTGTCGTATGTTATGTGGTACATAAGTTTTTCGCGTAAAGATCCCAGAAGGCAGTTAAAATGATTCGCTTCGCTACAATAAAAAGTCGGTTTATCCGTCACCACTGCTGACATGTTTCGAAAATATTCATACATGAGCAGTTATCAATGGTCGGATATCTGCCCGGTCTTGTAAAACTTGGAGTCGGTCGATCTTGATTTGTTCGGTTTCTGAAGTTTTTTAACTCATTGTTTTGTCTCAAACATGAATAATGGGTAATTGAAATTCAAGTTCACTTGCAGTCGCGTAGGTTGGCTGGATAGCAGTCCCTCAAATCCGTATGGTCATTCACCGATAACAGTATCAGCTTTCAGAATACCTGCCTCGCCCAGTGTTCCATGTGTCTTATTGCCGTCACACTTCAAATTTGGAGAAGCTTTCCACCTCTTCTTGACCCGCATATGATAAGAAATGATAGGACGGCGTACGGATTGAAGCCGGGATACCCGATAAACGTGTGTTTACTTGCAACTCACAAATCTCTCATTTCGTCAGTCAAACACTCTATGGAACCAGCACATAGTTTGTTCATATGGAGAAAGAAAGACAGAAAGATGGACATGTAATTAATGGTGATGAAGTCGCTTCCAAAATGAAAACAATGTTATCAACGGAAAGAGCGTTCACTCAAACAAACTCCGATAATTCAGGCTACAGTAAAGCAGGAAATCAGAACGAACCAATGAAATCGAACTACTAAACCTCAAAGTCCAACCAAATGTGGGAGAGGAGATCGCGTACAACAGGCATCGGTAACCGATCAATCGGACCATGAGCACATGGTCCTCAGAGAGAAAATACTCGACTTCAGGGAATGCTGATCATATGCAGCAACTACATTTTCGGACAGAATATGCCGTTGGGCATCTTCTGGGAAGACAGCGGCCTGATGGTCACTCTCCCAATCAACGCATACTTTCGGACAGATATGGAAGAAATTCCGACCAAATCATTCAATCATGCTGTCACTTCGGTTGGTGACGGAACCTTTGCAAACTGATCATCGGGATCAGAGAACATGTGAGCATCCCGTTGTTCAACGACAAACAGATGGAACATATGTCTTCGTGGATGTCCGTGTTGGAAATATAGGTCGGCCTCACCTAGGTTACACTAGTGATCTCAGTAGTGAATACAACGTGATAATATTTTCATACACCGAGTTAATTATACGGCGTGATTGCGTAAGAGCTGAGTGGCTCCGTTTCAATGGCGGGCCGACAAAATTAGCTAACGTGGAAAACTGCCTCCAACCACCTTCATAAGTTAAAAGCCAAGGGAGCTACTATATCGCATGATACAACAGCAAACCTAGAGGCGTACGCAAAAATACGATTATCATTCCCATATTCATGGGGACATGCAACAAGCACACGAATCAAAGTTAATTTAGCTACTGACCAGATCCTGTAATGTGTAAAAAAACTATTCTGACCTGCGTTTTCGTTATCCATCCACTTCGGTCGTGTTAGGTTTTTAACGAATACGTCGCATAGGAATTGTGCGGATTAATGACCCAACATAGTCGTGTACCATGGAAAAAATGAACTGTGAAACTTCGTATACCCTCCTGATTTCCTTAACTACCAGTTAGCCAAGGCCGTTAATGTTAAAAACTGGCTTCTGCAACTTTTAACAAAGCCCATATTTTTGAGGCATATTACCATGGAATTTCCATTTCCGCGGCTTTTTGTTGTGCTGTCCTATGCGTGAGAGCGCCACTTAATAAAGTATTCCTCAGGACCACGTCAAGATTCCCGTTCCCTTGCAGCGGTCCTGATGACAATGTTTTCATCTATTATACTGGCCACGGTGCGCTTCAAGCTATTTCCTTCCCATATGGATATGTAAGTTTTGTTAATTTGGTAACCACGGTTAAAGCACCCAGCTTTTCAAAAAGAGATTAAATTGTGAACGGAGGAGATAGGCGCACCGCAATCCGTGGTTCCTTATGAAACATACTTTACAGTTACAGCGGGCCTTGTTGAGGTGTTATATTGATAAAATTATATAGATTCCCTTTTACTACGTTCAAAGTCGCTCAACTCACTTGATTTCGCGTTTTCTTCATTTAGACTCTTGAGCAAGCATACACAGTCACTCATGAGGTTCAGATGATACGAAAACAAAAATGCTCGTTTTTACTTCTCGAGTGTCAGCGAAACTTTGGTGGTATGAATGTGCGAGAATGCATTGTGTGATAAGGAACCGTGAAGCAATGTACGCCTGTTGCATCCTTATGGGGAATCATCACCGGGGCGCTTTGTAGCAGCAAAATTCAACCGTTCGGACACGGGCGGCCAAAAGCGATTTGTCAGGATATAACGCCGCTCATCTTTCAGTCAACGGAACCACATCGCCGGTGACTTCTTCTTCGAGTGACAACTCACATATGAATTATTGTTCATTGCGTACTATTTACAGTGTGTCAGGAATGAGATGACTTTAGGAATTTTTCAATTCATTGGAAATCACCACAAATTTTCGTGAAACATGATTACTGGGATTCCCTCAATCGATTGCATCGACCTAGAGGACGGTATTTCAGTCTGCACCGAGCAGCACAAGACTTGTGCTGCAATTCCTTGTATCGAGGCCACATTCACCCTAATAGAAACCTTTGTACTAAGCGCTTTCATGATCGTTGTAGTCATTAATAAAATGCAACTAAACACATTTAAGTGCACCACGGCGGACGTGATGTAGAATTGGTTGAAAACGGCGGTGAAATTGACACCTGGAGTGATATGTAAATCAGTCGCTCAAACCGGAAACTCATTAGTCTGACTGCGTCAACTTCAGGCGGATCAAACGTAGTCCTTCAACTGATCATGGTGGCCAGTGTATCCAAAAATTCAATACTCGTTCAGCTATAATCGTTCGAGCTCACGCAAATTTTTTTGAATTGCTACAGCTTCATGCAGTCGAATTGAATGATATCCTCGGCAACATGTATTTAAACAAAAGGTACAAGAAGTTGGTGCTTTACATGGATTCTTGCGCCGCTGGTTCTCTGTTTCGTGATCTTCTTCCTTCAGATGTGGGAAGTAAGTAGCGTGATTTTGCCCGGCTCTCGTAAAGATGCTGTGAAATAACATCCAGAATTTTCCTCACATATGGCTGGCCAGAACAGCAAAACGACGTTCCAAGCATGTTTCATGACTCGTTCTCTTATGATACTTGAATGGAAGTGTTCCCTGTCCACCTGTAAGAAGCTTTTAGCCGGATAGTGAACAACATTCCACCTTCATCGATTAGTGTCACTCTGCTACAGATCTAGTTTCAGCGGGTAAGGTGCAACACCTGAGATAGTTGGGGTCCGTTTGCGGCAACCACCATTCACAGGTGAATAACGTATCAGTAAATTATGAACGGATCGTGAGTCTTTTATTAACAGTACACTTCCGCGGATCAAACAACAAGTATAATACCAGTGATCTGAATAACTTTGACCGTCATGATCGTCAGTGATCCCTTCTGTCGGTGTTTTCCCCAGAGATAAAAACGTATCATATGTCTACACAGTGGTGTGATTTGGAAGGTCTGAACCAATCGTGGTTAGCAAGAGCCGCCCCGTCTCATTTCAGGAAGTCATTGTGATTGAAGGAAATTCGAGGAATGCGCCTTTCTGATTGGACCAATAAGCGTGAAAAACATTGAGATTTTTCAGCGACCTTCTGACAAGTATGTTAGTTTTCGAACTCCTGGAGCTTCCCATTATCAGTTCGTTGATAATGTAACTCACTATTTAACGGTTTGTTTTTACCATGATCCATTCATTCTCTTGTCTGATTCCCTGAAAACTGCAGTCTTCGTTACAACTTCAGCGAATGAAAATGAAGAAAGCCTCTCTGTTTTTTGTAATGACAAGCGAATCGGTGTTTGTTTAGCGACCGAATATTCGTATGCATGGATTACGGATTCAAAATATGTGAGTTTTATCAAACCTGTTGCAGATAAGATTGTTAATTTTGGTGTGAAGTTATAAATGTAAAATTTTTCGTGACACTGGCGGCTTGTGTTTTTGGAGACCGCTTGATTCGTACTGTCACCGTTTAAATACACTGAAAAGTTTGCCCCTGCATTAAAGTTTGTGGAGCTTTTTGTCCTCATTTTCTATTCAGATCGCCTGAATGAGTGTGTGGGGCTCCGGTCTTAAAATGAATTTTGAATGCACCCAAGGAAGCGCTACTGTTGTAAATGGATGCAGACAATAATGATGATGATTGTGATGACGATGATTGCTCTAGAGAGTCAACTCCTCAACATGTGTATGGGTATGGTGTCCTAGCTCAGCAAATTTTCCTGTGATTCATTGGTAGTATCCGTCAATCTTTACTTTGGTTGTCTCACCTCTAGTGATGCTTTTACTAGCCAATTTGTCTGGGTCGAGTTCCCCGGGCAAAACATTCTGCAGGAGGATAGACTTGAGAAAATGTCACTCGAGCAACAGAACCAGATTCAAACGCTGATTATTCGAGGAAGATGAAGCTGCTGCTGCTGCAGATGATGATGACGTTGCACTTCCTGAATGCATTCTGCTCAATAAATCTGTCGCAATGAAGTACAGAATACAGTGTGCAACATATCGGGGTGTATTCGGGTGTCACGTTATCGCCGTTTGATTCCTTATGTTTTCCCGCGTACCCAGCCAATAAAATAATGAACAGCAGTTAAATATTGTCCTAACAGACGATAGATCCTTTCAAGAATTTCATCCAAACCTGCCAGCCAAGTTGGCTGGGCAATGTGTTGTGCATGTCCAAAAGCTGGCCGCCAAGTGGGATGTCGTAATTCGTGCCCAGTCCGGATTGTCATTTACCAGCCAGTAGACAGAACTTGGCATGGCAAGAGTGTATGGCGTCCAGGAGCAGTTGGGTGATCACTGGTTTATCAGTAGAATGTGTTGTTCCATAACTCGGATGTCTTAACTCTGGTGGATTCGCGTGTTTTGATTACATTGGATCCATCTTAAAGTTGCGTAAGCTGATTTGCTTGCTTTATATAGATTCCCTATATCATTATTATTCACTCGCGCGCAGAAAGACTTGAAAAAACGTACACTGGATCAACAGTACGAGGAGGTGAAAAAAAGGACAAACAAAAGTCACGTGATGAAATACGGTGAGATGGTGAGTCAAACTGTCACGGAGAGTTTCAGCTGAGTCACTTGTGAAAAACCAAACGGTTATGAAAATGGGTGTATTTGTCGAGATGAGAGTTGCATGTCGTTACCTTGGAAATGTGACGGCCAAGGTCAAATATAACTGTTTGGGTACCTCATGTTCCATAGACGATGTTCTGCAAGTCAGCCAGTCTAGTTATTTAGATATGCAATCCTGTCCAGTGTCATCTTTTGGAGAGCCAAGTAATGGCGTTTGATACCTTGTGGTCTGTACCCTTCTGTGCTGTGGTACAAAAGGAAACCAAATCTGCATAAAGCCTCCTCAAGTATCTCAGGGAATGAATAGATTGACACGATGACTAAAACTCTCATCTGTGAACTTAGCAGTCGAGTAGCCAGTGATTATGTGGCCATGTCATGTGGCTTCCCGTGATTGAACGATTAGTGATGTGACGCTGGGTTCTGTCTATGAAAAGGCCAATCACACTGCTGATCATTCCGTTGTGGCTGAAATGTCAAGTATTCAGCCACTGGCCGGAAGGTCACCGGTTTGTCGTTCCATGTTGCAGTGAGATGTGCACTGCTTCTGACTCCCAGTAAAAGGCAAAAATCTATACGACGCTTCTTGCTTCTCAGCACAGATTGGCTTCACTGAAGCGATAAAATATCCAATTGAATGAGAAAGTTCGATCGATATTAGCACGTCACATACTCATTTTGATGCGATTCAAGTTTAAACTATACAATTTGACTACGTCTTTAGCTCACTCTTTGACTGAGTTAAATGATTCAGTCAAGCTCCGTGTCAACTTTAAACGCACTTTTTGTACACATTGGTCGTGAACGCCGTATTTGTACTTCCTTCCGAATAGTTTGTGTGGTCTGTGTTCTGATAAAAAACAGTGATGCTATGATTTCCTTCATTTTGTAGTCCCAAGATTTTGGAAGGCATGGTTTGAACCATAAAGTATTCTATGCACGTTTTAGTAGCCGACGGACAACAAAATTAATAGAGCTCACTGTATTCTGAATTAGCGAGTGTTACCAAGCGCCCATTCGGAATTTAATCCAGCCAATTGGATACTGCGCATCGGTCCGCACCGCAAATATTTGGGTAGTGTACAATTGAATTTATTCATGAACTTGAACGAAGGAACTTAAATGAACATAAGAGTCTTTCGGTGATTATCATTGATGTACACTAGTGTTTGATACACAATTTTCGGGAGAGATATTCATTGGTCCATCAGATCCTTCAACACGGGCACGTCGTATCTAAGTGCAGAACCACGGATGCATTGTACACCCTTTCCCCTTTGTATGGAACAAGACGCTATCAGAGTTAACCATACAGTAATAAGCGGCTGTTTATTGTTCATTTCAGACGATGGGAAGTCTCCCAGTTGGAATATTCCAAAGTCATTATGACCTTCTGATGCACCGAAAGGATGGGGCACTAGCGGTATGTGTTCAGCGCAATTTTTGATATTTTGTCTTCTATATTGGTACAGTCGGTACTTATGCCGTTATATGTTTCAAAAACCCACTGACCATTTCACAGTACAATACCATTTCAAAATTTGGGCCGCTTTGAATTCGATTGTGTCAACCAGTCTAGTGAAAGCAACTGTTACCACCATACGAGTCGTTATCGCTGCATGCCTACCTTTAAGCGAAGGCACCTACATTTCCCACAATGAACGTTCCGGTCAGAATCTCTGATTCTTATCCAAAGTCGGTAATGCTGATAGTGTCTGAATGCATTTATCATGGTTAAATTTTGTCCGTTTTATTTAGAAAAATAAGCACATGAGTCACGCAGCTACTTTCGGCTATCGGAGAGGCCACCGCTCTCTCGATGGTGAGAACAAGGGAGATTGATGCTCGAATCTGAAGTATGTATCACCCGGACTGTCAGATGATTATCAGCTTCTCTGATTGGGTGAATTGTACACACATACATACATACATACATACATACATACATACATACATACATACATACATACATACATACATACATACATACATACATACATACATACATACATACATACATACATACATACATACATACATACATACATACATACATACATACATACATACATACATACATACATACATACATACATACATACATACATACATACATACATACATACATACATACATACATACATACATACATACATACATACATACATACATACATACATACATACATACATACATACATACATACATACATACATACATACATACATACATACATTACATACGACATATATACACACATGATTAAAAACCATAGTCAGTGCGAAAGGCTGGCAGCGGAACAGAGAAAAATTGCCAGATTGACATTAGGTTGATAAGGAACAGACAAAGATAAACATCCAGACAGGTAGACTAATGAAAACACAGATTCAGAGACACATTGTCGGATAGGTAGGTAGGTAGGCATATAGATATATAGATAGATAGATAGATAGATAGATAGATAGATAGATAGATAGATAGATAGATAGATAGATAGATAGATAGATAGATAGATAGATAGATAGATAGATAGATAGATAGATAGATAGATAGATAGATAGATAGATAGATAGATAGATAGATAGATAGATAGATAGATAGATAGATAGATAGATAGATAGATAGATAGATAGATAGATAGATAGATAGATAGATAGATAGATAGATAGATAGATAGATAGATAGATAGATAGATAGATAGATAGATAGATAGATAGATAGATAGATAGATAGATAGATAGATAGATAGATAGATAGATAGATAGATAGATAGATAGATAGATAGATAGATAGATAGATAGATAGATAGATAGATAGATAGATAGATAGATAGATAGATAGATAGATAGATAGATAGATAGATAGATAGATAGATAGATAGATAGATAGATAGATAGATAGATAGATAGATAGATAGATAGATAGATAGATAGATAGATAGATAGATAGATAGATAGATAGATAGATAGATAGATAGATAGATAGATAGATAGATAGATAGATAGATAGATAGATAGATAGATAGATAGATAGATAGATAGATAGATAGATAGATAGATAGATAGATAGATAGATAGATAGATAGATAGATAGATAGATAGATAGATAGATAGATAGATAGATAGATAGATAGATAGATAGATAGATAGATAGATAGATAGATAGATAGATAGATAGATAGATAGATAGATAGATAGATAGATAGATAGATAGATAGATAGATAGATAGATAGATAGATAGATAGATAGATAGATAGATAGATAGATAGATAGATAGATAGATAGATAGATAGATAGATAGATAGATAGATAGATAGATAGATAGATAGATAGATAGATAGATAGATAGATAGATAGATAGATAGATAGATAGATAGATAGATAGATAGATAGATAGATAGATAGATAGATAGATAGATAGATAGATAGATAGATAGATAGATAGATAGATAGATAGATAGATAGATAGATAGATAGATAGATAGATAGATAGATAGATAGATAGATAGATAGATAGATAGATAGATAGATAGATAGATAGATAGATAGATAGATAGATAGATAGATAGATAGATAGATAGATAGATAGATAGATAGATAGATAGATAGATAGATAGATAGATAGATAGATAGATAGATAGATAGATAGATAGATAGATAGATAGATAGATAGATAGATAGATAGATAGATAGATAGATAGATAGATAGATAGATAGATAGATAGATAGATAGATAGATAGATAGATAGATAGATAGATAGATAGATAGATAGATAGATAGATAGATAGATAGATAGATAGATAGATAGATAGATAGATAGATAGATAGATAGATAGATAGATAGATAGATAGATAGATAGATAGATAGATAGATAGATAGATAGATAGATAGATAGATAGATAGATAGATAGATAGATAGATAGATAGATAGATAGATAGATAGATAGATAGATAGATAGATAGATAGATAGATAGATAGATAGATAGATAGATAGATAGATAGATAGATAGATAGATAGATAGATAGATAGATAGATAGATAGATAGATAGATAGATAGATAGATAGATAGATAGATAGATAGATAGATAGATAGATAGATAGATAGATAGATAGATAGATAGATAGATAGATAGATAGATAGATAGATAGATAGATAGATAGATAGATAGATAGATAGATAGATAGATAGATAGATAGATAGATAGATAGATAGATAGATAGATAGATAGATAGATAGATAGATAGATAGATAGATAGATAGATAGATAGATAGATAGATAGATAGATAGATAGATAGATAGATAGATAGATAGATAGATAGATAGATAGATAGATAGATAGATAGATAGATAGATAGATAGATAGATAGATAGATAGATAGATAGATAGATAGATAGATAGATAGATAGATAGATAGATAGATAGATAGATAGATAGATAGATAGATAGATCGACAGATAGATAGACAGATAGATAGTTAGATAGATAGATAGATGGATAGGTTGTGCAGGCTCCCCTCAAGGAAGAAGACCATTATCCTAATGAGCATTGGCAGAGCTCCTGTTAAGGATATACGTTTCACAATTGTTTCCTTCGTTCTAGCCGAATGTTGTATATAGAAGATCCTCCTCTCGGGTGCTTTTTTTCTCGATGTCTCGACGCCTGATTTAGGCCACAAGCGAGGAAGAACACGCAGGTGCTTGTAGTTTCTTTTCTTAAACAAATCATCCCAAAAAGTAAATGATTGCACGATATTAACATCGCTATATGTAAGGATTGATTCTTGTAGTGGCGAATACATGTTGAGGATGCGTGAGAGCAGGTAAACATTAATCAATCTAGTAATTAAAGGCCATTTCATGAAGCCACCTGAAAATCGAACGTGGTCAGTTTAGTTGTTCAAGAAACTTTTAATCTCCCGACAATCTTCCACAACTATTCCTCTGGCTATTATCAGCTTGGTCACATCGTCCATGAAACTTTTCACGACATCGTGATGGATGTTACAACCCAACATAAGCCAACGGTAAAGGACTTGTCCAAGAGGAATGAGCTCATGTGTTTCAAGGAAGTATTCGACCAATTCCAGACGCATTGCTTCACAATTCAGCAGGTGAGTTGACCTCGTGGTGCATACAAACAACTGCGCAACAATATGTAAACCTCATTTGCGAATGAATTCACCCATGTCGTCAACTTAGACCAGCATTACTCTTAAAGTACTTCTAGCTAAATGTCTAGGAAACGAAATTTCCGGTGGAAAATTTGAGTGCAAATCCTAGACTACGTGAAGTGATGTAGGTTAATCGGAATTATAAATCATCCAGAGCTAATGGAATAGGAGCTCCCGTTCCTTCCAATGAGCGCGCGAATACACCAAGAATGACATAATCTGTTCAGCTCAGTTCAGTTCAATTAGGTTCAGTTCAGTTCAGTTCAATTCAGTTCATTTCATTTCAGTTCAGTTCAGTTCAGCTTCAGTTCAGTGGATCAACTCGCCGGGCAAGCTCTCTTACCTATTGTGTCATGAATGAACCCTCAGCATGCCTCCAAAGACCAGCCCTTTTGGGTGATCGATTGCTTCCGGAAGTGAACCGGGACCGTCGTGACGAAAGATGCGTGCGTTCATCACTGCCAAGGAGTGTAGTGGAGCAACACTTGGCCAGCAAGTCTGGCTAGAGTTACTGGTATTATTAGTCAAATTGCACCATTTCGAGGAACATTGTTTTGTTCCGTGGAGTTAACACAGTCCTCCCACCTGCTACGTAGCGGAAGACATTCGCTCTTTTTTCTTCTAGCAGTGAAAGAGTTTATATCTAAACCTTTCGAAATCTCCGGATATCAGATATTCTGATACTCGTCAACACCCCTCGCAGGTACCTTTTTCTAATCTCAATGCCAGTGCACGCTCGTCCTTCAGCGCGTCTCACTGACAATCTACGCTATTCTGTAGCACAGTCGTCACTTTTTCTCTGCAATGCTAAATTCTGTTGGTATACGGTAAAGTGTACCCTGCATAAACACATTTCCCTATTCCTTTGATAGCATTCTTAGGCATTGGTCCCAACCTTTGTTGGACATGTACGATCCTTGGTCCGTGGTACGCGTGGTGAATATATCGTTTGCACGCCTGGACTGATTTTCAAGCTGAAATCCCGTTATCTCTCTGCCTTCAGGTCCCAGAGGTAGCTCGGTACACACCTCATTTAATGGAGCTGTGCAAAGCCGGATACGAGATTGAAACCCTCATCAAGTCTGTCCACAACATCTGCTCCTAACGGATACACAACCTGTTGTGTGATTCTGCCAAAATAAAATGAATTGCAACTGGTCCGTATCGTGTTCTGCTACGGTTAGAAGACATGGATTGTATTATGATTACACTAGCGGTCAAGAAATGCTTCGGTATCAACCGAAGGAATTCAGGTAAAACCGTCCAGATTCTCAGACAAGTGGACTCATCAATACGTCCCCACAAATACGACGTAATTTTGCACGATGTATGCACAGGACGAATAATGACTAGCCGGTCGTTCAACGAAGTTAGGACACTTATCGGGTCGTCTTTCGACTCAAACACTGCTGAAAACCCTATTATTCTCTTATTCACTCTAACCGGATTAGAGACGCATAGTCTAAATTAGCCCTATCGACTTTGAGTAAGTTTTCATACAGCCAGTCACAACTTCATCGGATGCTTAGTTGAAGTCACCGGGACGGTGTCAGTTTGTCTCAAAACGAGATGAGCTTTTTGGATCCCTTTGTTTTTGCAATCGCTTTCTTACGACAAAAGCAACCTGATATTGTGTTGCTACTCATAGGTTCGCTGAATACTCTTCAACAGATAGCTGCCAGTCTCCGTTTTCGTGGTTTCATTATATAAGCGTACAATTTGGTGTTCAGTTAAAACAAGGTTGGTAGGAACTTGTAGACGAATAAATCAAAGACGAATCAAAGCCACCGAGCAGATGCTGTGTGACGGTTGATTTACACGTTCCACATATGTCGATCTATCGATCTCCGGCCACACACGGTCAAACATGAACACTCATCGGCTTTTGCTATACTGATTGAACGATTGACTTGCCTGGATGCTTGCAGGCTTTCCTATTCAAAATTTGGTAGCGTTTGGTGATCCCCGTAGGGTTCAGGCATTGTAGGTTACGTCCGGGTAAGTAACATTCCTGATTGATACAAATGCGCTTATTTGCACATTAACCCCGGTTTAACATGGCACACAAGTGAGTTCAGGTAAATCTCTCATGTATACTTGTCTCTTTCAACTGGATTGTGAGTTAAACCCCATCTTAGAATTATGTTTAATGTTGATTTTGTTCAGCCGTCTCGGGGCGCAAATAATTAACGGTGTTGTCAGTGTCCCAGTGATGAATTCTTTTAGACATCACAGCACCTGGGGATTGCCAGAACACCGTACGCATGGGTATGACAGATGACGCAATCGCAATACCCGGGGAAGCAATATTTGGATTTGCGTTTGTTTTCTTTAGACTTCGGTGGCAGCGAAGAATTTTTTCAGAGACCTCGGGAAGGCGGCTCTGAATGCGCCCAGATAGGATCCTCCAAAGGAGGACTTGGTCGCCCGGGAGGCCGCACATGTTTTTTTCGTAATCCTGCCTTGATCTTACGGAAATTGCAAAATTTGTGGAACTACTTTGCAGCATTTATTTATAGTTGCGTGATAGTCGCTGAGTATGCAGAAAAGTTCAAGAAGGTGCGTTCAAGAGGACAGATAATAATTTTTTCCTAAAAGCATGGTACACGTGAAATCAAACTAGCTATTTCAGATATTCTGTAGCCATATCGCTGTGTGCTAACAACCAATAGAACGTTGGGTCATTCCAAAAGCAATCAGCTGGAAGTTCCTCATTTCAGTCAAGTTCATGTCGATCTTCAAGCGAACGAAATTCTACTTGATGTATCGCTGGTAGTTAGGTAGGCGCCTGGGGGAACGCAAGGTGAATATGCCTATCCTAGACGAACCACTGATCATAGGGTTGCTAAAAACCCTTCAGAAGCTTACGATCGGTTTCCCTATAATTCAGTATCATTCCCTGAGATTCCCCAGACCTCATATGCTACTTGAACCCAAGTTTTACATGTTTTGAGAACTACGCTTAGTTGCACATCCGCTTGGCTTTGACAGGAGACTCAGCTAAATCCAATTGAATCGGTTATTTGTAACAGTACACTTCAAATGAACGTGCTGCATGCTTCCTCCTCATACCTCAGTTAGTACGATATTTGGGACACCACAGTACGCTGAAAACTCTTAGACAGCCCATGACAACCTCTGGCCTTCTTGGCGCTCATTAGGTAGGCGCATCCCCAGAGTTCCCGTCAACTTTATGTTCCATGTTTCGTTGAGGCAACCCATAATAACCAGACTAGTTATCGAAATATTCCTACTCTGCTTAACTAGCTAACTCAAAAATATGTTTCGAAACATTCACAGGTATTAGACCTTGACCGAATACCGTCCTTTTTGGGTAGATTTAGTCGTCGAATCAAAATAGCCTGACAAAGTGCGCACTGATACCCATTTCTTCCTGTTTACGTGTGGCCGTTGTTGAGCGCCCAGAAAAACGCAAGCCCTAGGAATCTTGGAATGGAAAATTCTGGTTCGAAAATGCCTCTTGATGCTTGCTACTTCCTGGAGTGACACCGATCTTCTTTGTGTCCAATACGGGAGCACCTACCGTAGCAGTGTTGTCTGAACGGATAAAATTGATGCCACTGGCCACATTTCCAGCATGCCGTAGGTCGCTTCTTGTCACCCTGACGGACAGTATGATTCTGAATCACATGAACAGCACTGCTGGGACCAGTTCCATGTATCATGGGATTATCACGCTTCAAATTCATCGGGCGTAGGCATTTCGATGTTCTGTTCTGCAATGTGACAACTGGGTTCTGTTCAATCTTGCTGAGGATTCTTGTTCTTATAGTTGCGTCTTTAGGAAACTTCCACCCACACACGAATATAAGACATTTGAACTTTGGAGCATTAGAGATTGAAACATTCGCATTCCTTCTCGAATTTGTCGGCTTACAAAAACAATTCTGCAGCAGCATTCTTTCTCAAATTCATACAATGATATCGAACGCTGAACAAGGAAGGCTGTTCTTTGGACATTGACGACGAACCGGAAACGGTTTCATCGGAAGACAGTTAATTTGGCTTTCGTGGCAAAGTGGGGTTCGTGAAGGGTTTATGCTCCGCAGCCTGACCAAACGCTTTGCTTTCCAAGAAAATTCTCTGTTTACCTGATCCAATGTGAAAAATTCTGCTTCGTGCTGAACCACTAATCAAAAGTAACACATGAAATCCGATCGAACTGGAATTTAGGAATCGCATTGAGCATCGTGTCGATCACTGAAGCGGACGGCTCAATAGTCTGGCTAATCGGCCTCTGTAATGACCACTTTTCAGTCAGTGTCTCGATGAGCTTCAACTGCACCAGCTCAGTCTGTTGCTGAGCAAGTGCAGATAAACTAAACAATGAAAAATCATTAAGCGTACATGATGCGAAGAAATTTACGAAGGAAACGTCTGAAGACAGCGCGAATCATTGGCGGTATGACCAGGTTTTCGTTTTTCTGTATGAGAATCCTGTCCGTGATGAATAGCTAGGAAACAGTGCACAACTGTTCCATCCTTATTGAGAATCATCAGTGATACGCTTAGTAGTTGCAATATTGAACCGTTTGAATAATGGCAGTCAACCTCACTTAGTGTGGAAAACACTCCGCTCATTCTTCAAGCAAGGGATCCACTTGACTTATGACAGACATTTTCTCACAAATTCCATTCGTCGTGTGATTTATTCTTCCTCCTTAACTACTTACAGTCTGTTGGTAGTGTGACGAAATTCGGAGGTTTTTGATTAGATGGAAATCCTAAATTCTCGTGAAAAGTCATCAGAGCTAAACTCTATTCAGTAGTTTGGCTTGAACATTCATTCTACCGATTTTGTGACTGCAGGCGTATTCACAAAAACGATGGCACTCGCACGCCCTTTCCAAGGAATCTTAGATTTCCGTCGGCAGTGTAGCTTACTAACATTACAGAGGACATGGGGACACTGATATTACTTGGAAACAAAATATATTTTACAGGAGTTACCGTTATATTGACAGGAGGACAGGGCGAAACGCATTCAAACTTTGTCCTCCAGCTGATCTTGGTGAACAGTATTCCCGAAAAGTTCAACACCCTTTCGCGTAGATCACTACTTCAGTGCCTTGCTGCAATCCCGCCCAAAGAAATCATGTGGGCAGAGTAACCGCTAATGTGGTAAAGATTAAGCAGGACCTGTCGAAATGCTGGAGTCGGATTCGAAACCACGATCCCCCGGTCCGTACGTCCACCCTTGAATCTTCACAAATATTATTCTTCAAGTCTTGCGACTGCTCTATGCCACGCATGTGAACGCTACTTTTGCCTTCATGCATTCAAAAAATATTTAGTTGTTGATGGTGGTGTCGCGCACAGGGGCCTTTTACTCTGTTTCTATGTTTAACGATGCTCTTTCTTCAAATGTGAAAACTAAGTAGCGTATTTTTGGTGGGCTGTCGTGGAGATCCTGTGAAACAGCATCCTACACATACGGATAAAATCCGCATTGGTCAGTAACGGAACAAAGTTCCAAGCCTGGTTCGTGCTTGATCGCTTCATGATCCTTGTATAAACGTGGGCGTGGCCATTTGCAAAAGCATTAAGCTATGGATTGCGCAACATCTATCCTTCATCGATTGACGTCACCTGTGCTGCTGAAATAGTTTCATATGGGTCGAGGAAATCCTTGTGTAACCGGCACATCATCTGTGGTATTTTGGTGTCCCCGTGCAAAAACCACCGTTGCTAGTTGTAAACCGTCTTTTCTTTTGATCTGTTTGGAATACATGCAGGGAAGCGTCAGTGTTGAGCACGGAAGTTGACACTGATGATGATGAAATGGCTGCCATGGAGCGTCAAATCATTAACCTGTGTTGTATGTGTAGTGGTAGAGTGTAGTATAGTCGTTTATCTTTTTTCTCCCTAATTCTCCGGTTACGCTTCCGCAATCGTCACTATTTATGTTTGTGGCCATGTTCGCCAAAAACAAAGGATAAAGAATGTGTTGTACAGTGCTCACCGGTTCCTCAGTAGTATGTGTCGTTCCATACCTCGTTCGTCTTACAACTAGTAATGGATTGGATTCTTATAAAACTGGGTGAGCTAATTTCTCTGCTTCGCATAATCCCCGTATCAATTTCT